TGTATATGCATATATTTATCCCTATATATATGTATGAGTATGTATATGTATATATATTATACATATATATGTATTTATTTATGCATACAGGTCAGAAATGCAAGGGGTGTAAGCAGATTCACCAGAGACAGAATGGAGAGAAGAACAGGTAGATCTACTGAAATACACTGCTGAGGGAAACATCAGGCAGATCAGGAGAGGTCTGCCATGCCCTGAGGGTCACCTCCCTGGCCGGGATCAAACTGGCACTGCAGTGGTTGTGGAGAGCTCCATAGTGCTGCGCTTTAGCCCATTGTACCACCAGGGAGGGCCCACCCACCCCATATATTTTTTTAAAAAGGAGGGTTCATTTTTTCTTAATCTTCTATAATGACCCTGTTGATCCTCAAAGCACAAGAGTGTTTAGCCTGTGGATTCCTTATTACAAAATGACCTTGGTGCATGTCCACTATGAACCAAGTAACAGACAAGTGAACAAATAAGCTCATTTGCATTTGGACAGACTTAAGCTGCATAAGTTCATAATTACTCTCCTGTGCTAGTGTCAGCATGGGTTTGAGTCTCAGTTCTACCTCTTACCAGTTGTAATAATTTCTGAAGCTTCTTGCTTTACTCATTTCTGAGCTGCTGAAAGATGGCAACAGATTTGCCTATGGCCCGAGAGACAGAGCCTGTGCTGTGGACATGTAGCCTGTGTGGTTCATAAGGGCCCTGTCCTTTTAGAAGGGTCCTTGACTTAGTTTAATGTTTTGCCATCTTTGAATTCTTAGTGCTTTCTGAGCAGGGTGGCCTACATTTTCATTGAGTGCTGGTATCTACAATTAAAGCCCATCATGTTCAGGGGCTTTAGAGCTTTAAGTGAAATTCTATGTGACTGCTTAGCTTAGGGCCTGGATTATAAGAAGTGCTCAGTGAATGTTAAGGAGAGAGAGGGAGCTCAGGAAGGAGGAGAGGGACCCAGCACTGCCACCTGTTACCTGTTGACTCAAAGGGAGCAATGTTTCCAGCTACCTCGGGGGAAAAGACCTATGGGTCTGGAAGGGGAGAGGGTGAGAGGCGAGGCCTGGTCTAGGGACAGTGGAGAGCAATGGCAGAATGCTCCTGGACTCCAGCAAGAAAAGTCCCAGTCTGGGGCAGAGGCCCTGCCTTCCACCTCCATGTATGTCACATACATTCTGGGGGACAAACCATTGGGCACCAGTTTTCAGTGTTCATGGTGAAGGTTAATTCTCCAGCCACAACAGATTCTTTTGTATTGGATGGGTATTGTGCTATTGTCTCCCCTCTGTGAGTGACCAGGAGCAAGTCTTAAGTAGGCTCTGGAAGCAGAGCACCTGCTTGGGAGACCCCTTCCTAGGTCCTAATCTGCAAGCAACACCATTTCTGGCTCTTTCTCTCAGGGCTTAATTTCAGGACTGCAGCTGCTATCACCGTAGTCTAAATGATCACCTGTTCTGTTCTTTCTCAATATTTTTTTTTTTGCATAGTAAGCCTATCATTTAGGGGAATTGCAAACAGAATTTTTAAGGCAGCAGTGTTGGGAAAAGGAAAGACTGAGGAGAAGGATTCCAAGGAGACTTCATTCCACCTCAGAAATTTTCCCAGGAGGGTCCTGGTTTCAGAGGGTAATGCAGAGCTCAAGTTTCCTCCAAATGAAGGTAGTGAGAGCTCTAAAACTCAGGCTTTCTTGTGTGCTGTAGCCTGAACTGTAGTGCGTGTGGCCCTTGCTTTCCCTAGAAGTAGATCCGGAGAGCCACAAGGAGCCAGAGAATCAGGACAGGGCCAGAGCAATGGCTCCTGTGGGTGGGTGCAAAGTGCAGCACTATGAAGCTACTGCAGCCACTGCAGCATGAGTTTGATTCCCAGCCAGGGAGGAGATCCTCAAGGCGAGGCAGACCTCTCCTGAGGAGACTGCTGCTCCCCTCAGCAGTATATTTTAGTACATCTGCCTGTTCTACCCCCCACTCTGTCTCTGGTGAATCCTCTCATTGCCCCCCTTGTCCCCCACCCCGAACCTTTAGTCTCTAAGAATGGTTGTGATGCTGAAAACCTACATAAAGGGATTTTGAAATGGATCCTCTGGAAAAGCAAAGCAGACGAGTGCTGGATCATACCCATGCCTGTGTCCAGCAGCACAAAGGAAAAGGGTAGCTTGGGATGCCGGTTTGGACTTACATGATGGGAGACAATGGCACCACCTCCCAAGCCTGTTTCCTCAGGAACTGAAGGAGTCTAGTGCTCTCTATCTCATAACATGATTGTAGAGAACGAGTAGGCTAATACCAGGGAATGTGGAGTGATGTGGAATGAATGAACATTAGCTAGTGATCTGGCTCCTTGGGAGCCCAAAAGCAGCAGCCTTCCCCCTAAATCTCCAGAGGTTGCCTGTTTTGTCTGGGTGGTAAGAAGAAGTTTCTCCTTTAGGCAGGAAAGGGTTAAAGGCTGAGCCTAGGACTTCTGCCCCAGCCACTGCCCCCCACCCCTACCCTTGGACTTGTACCCCAGAATTGATTGACTTGCTCATGGCCCTTCCTGGAAGTCAGGCCAGATGCAGGGTTTCCTGAGGAAGAAGCCCATCCTTCAGGCCACCACCTTGTTGAAGGTGTCACCACTTGCTGCCCATCCTGAGATAGCACATGCAGAAATACGATATCACCTTAACAAACCACACTCACCACACACCTTTCCACCTGCCATCCCCACAGCAGGCATTCAGAGCAAGCACACATCAACACTCACCAGGAAACAAAGTGTGCACTTACACCTCACCTGGGCACACATAAACACTGCACACAGAAAGGCCAAGCATACCCTGAGGTTTGACATACCCTGAGGTTAACAGTCCAGAGAGAGGAGCCATATGATAATGATCCTTTTTATCAAGTGCTGTGCTGTTACTGTCAGGTATTGTTTTAAGCTTTTCCCCCAAGAATAGTTTTATTCTTAAACAGAGGTAGTTACCACTCCCCTCCCCACCCCCATTTTCCAACCGGGAGCTAAAATAAGATGACCCTGGGCTTCTAGAGGGTCCTGCTGAGGACATGCCCAGATGCCATCTGACTCCTCAAGCTCATTTATTTCCATAGACACGTTCACGCTATTCTCCCCACCCCGAAGTTGTCCACTCGCTGAGGAGCGCCTTTAGCGTTTCTAAAGTCGCCAAAATGGACCCTTCCTGGTGTCTTAAGGAGTTAAAGCTCAGCACTACAAGATACCCATATCCACTACAGCACCAGTTAGATTCCGGCCTGGGAGTTGACCCACATGGCGCAGCACAATTCTCCTGTCTCGCCTGCTGCTCCCCTCAGCAATGTACTTCGTCAATCTGCCTGTTCTGCTCCCCACTCTGTCTCTGTTGAATCCTCTCACCGCCCCTGAATCTCTGGCCTGTGCCCCAGTTCTGTATTCGTAAAGAAACAAATCTTAAAAAAAAAATAAAAAGCCAGAAATGGCCTGTTGTGTGAACGGTCAGTAAGCTGTAAGAAAGAACCAGATCGGCTAGAAGAGTAGACATTCCAGAAGTGGCTGCGCTGGTGGAAGCCTTGCTAACCAGTCTGATGGGACCCCCGCGGGAAACTCTGGGCACCACGTCGAGCCGCGCAGGGACGTGCTGCTGCGGTGCCCAGCGCAGGGGCCGCCGTAGAGAATTGATTTAGTGCACTGAGAACCTAACCTCAGTCCTCGGCGAAGACGCTCCCTGAGTGGGCGGCCGCGTCCACTTCCCGGCGCGTAGCCCAGAACCTGCGATCAGGCAGCTTTAGGTTTTAGCAGAAGGACTGCCGCGCCCGACAGCGCCCAGAGGCCGACCAGCCGCTGAGAATTGGTTCGGGATCTGGGATTCCGGGACACATTTCATCTCCAGGAGCTCCCCGCGCCCCACTCAGGCACGCACCCACTCCTTGGTATACCTTTTAATGGGAAAACAACGGTCACCAGGGTCGGATAAATGTTATTTATAATTTATGGGGCAGGCTTTGAAATCTTTAAAACAAAACTCACAGCGGTTTCTTTGTAAGAAAAAAATTCTGCTCAGAAGTCGCGGGTTTTCTAAGGACTGGTAAACGGCTGCCGAGATAGTCACTACCCCGAGGACCACATTTGTTTCTGATTATTTGTGTGGTAGTTGGTTTGGGCAACGAAACGTAAGTTTATAAAAAATCGTTTATTCTGGAAGTGGGATATACATTCGCACCGGAAATGTTCCTAGAAGGAGCTGTGCTGTTCAGGTGGGGAAAGGCTAGGTCGACTCAGTGTCAAATCTCCCCTTCCCCCCAAGCAAGTCAGGGCTAGAGTCAGGATCCAGCAAGAGTATTCGGGGTACGCGTTCTGGCAACACCCACCTAAAGCGCCAATGTGGAGAAGTTTTACACCAGTGGGTGACTGTGAAAGTCCAGATAGCGTCTCCAAACTTCGGAGGTCGTTCTCTACCTTCTCTAGTTTGGGCCCTGATAACAAAGGCCCACGAGAAGTGATAGTCTTGTTCCAACGGACCCTCTTAGTCCCAGCTCTCTCGTCCCAAGAGAGTGGATTACAATAATATATGAGACATATATATATATGTACGTGACGGGAGGTGTTTTTTTTTTTTCCGTAAAGGGAGTTTTTTTTAAAAAAAGGTCCTTCTGCACTCCCCAGGTATCCATCACCCTGCCTGGGAGCGTCTGCGGAGACGCCCGAGTCCTGGAGGAAGCTCAGAGCAGCGTTAGCTGCGGAGCCAACTCAGCGGTGACGCAAGGTCCAGCCGGGATAGCCGGATCCCAAGCCCAAGAGAGGATCCTCGTAGATTTCGGGGAGGGGGGCTCTGCTCCATTGTTCATGCCGGACCAATCAGGGTTTGCCCACTTCTTTCCAGCCAATCCTCTGTCACTCCTGCCTTTCACCACCCCACCCCGCCCAGCAGCCCCCAAGTCCCCTCAGCTCCCCCGGCACCTCCCGCAGTTCTGGGTAAGCTTAGTGACGCCACAGGTCCCGCCCCCAGCCCCGGCCCCGGCTAGTGCGTGCTGACGTCATGCTGCGTGCGGGCCGGTGCGGAATCGCTCCTTCAACTCCGCGGGGCAGGAGTTAGTTAGCAAAGAGCAGAGGCTGGACGTACGACCCTGGTCTTCTGCCCTTGGCCGCACACTTTGCTCACATCTGTTTTCTGCATGGTGGATATTATTTTTCATTATCCTTTTCTGGGTGCTATGGGGGATCATTCCAAGAGTAAGTTCTTTCTCCGTCTTGGTGGGTGTGCTTGTGTGCTTAATATGCATTATTTTTAATGCAGATGAATGTTGAGTGTATTCTACAAGTGGCTTCTATTTGACAGGACACTGGGAAAACAACAACAGAACGAATGCATTTCTCCTGCAGGATCTCTTATTCTCCAAAATCCTGTGTTGTATTAATTTATAACTAAACATCATTTGTCAAGCTTGCTAGCTGTGAAATGTGCTTCGGTGTTTCTCTGAGGCAATTAGATTTGATTTAAGGATGTGTTTTTTTTTTTTTTTTTGCTTGCTTATGTACCTTTCGATCTTTCAAATAAGGAAGATTTTTCTATCTTGACCTGGGATATTTAAACTAAGAAATGACAGTGAGGCTGAACGGAGACGTTGCAAGCTGATGTGTCTGTGTTGGGATGGGAGGCTGCCGCTGTGAGTGTGCGGATAAAAATGCCGGTACATCACGGTTCAGGACTGGTGCGGTGGCGTCCGCAGTGCTTAAATGTCTGTTTGCCGTTTCCTACATGTTGGCTTTTTGGTTACACAATGTGTACATAAAATGACTGCATCCAAGTGGATGTAATAGCAGGGAAAAATGGGGTGGGGTGGGGTGGGCAAAAAGCCTTAACAAACGCAGATTTTATGTCTTCTTTTCCAATTATGTGGACCTTTAGAAAGTCTGCTTCCTTTTCCTTGTGGTTGCAATTCTTGAAAGAGCTGTAAGGTGGCGGGTTCGGTTGGGGCTGGAGTGGCCGAGTCCACCCGGGGTCGGGGTAGCCAGGCCTGACGCGAACCCCGCGCCCTTCCCCGGCAGAGAAGCCCGGGACCGCCATGTGCGTGGGCTGCGGGAGTCAGATCCACGACCAGTTTATCCTGAGGGTGTCCCCCGACCTGGAGTGGCACGCCGCCTGCCTCAAGTGCGCAGAATGTAGCCAGTTCCTGGACGAGACTTGCACGTGCTTCGTGAGAGACGGGAAGACCTACTGCAAGCGGGACTACGTCAGGTGAGGCTCCGCTCCTGCCCGAGGAACCCGGGCCGGGGGAAGGTGGGCCGTCCTGGACCCAGGTTATGAGAGATGGCCGCTCCCCTCCGGAATAAGGGCGGCCCGCGCCTCCCGGTCGGGGACCCCCACCCCCAGCCCGTGTCTTTGCAGAGGTGGGGGTCGGCCCCGGGCGCGCACACCCGGAGGGGTACAGCCGGCCGCGGAGGCGAGACTCGCCGGTGGTCCCGCTGACGCCGCCGCGCCTCGGGCCCGCAGGCTGTTTGGCATCAAGTGCGCCAAGTGCCAGGTGGGCTTCAGCAGCAGCGACCTGGTGATGCGGGCGCGGGACAGCGTGTACCACATCGAGTGTTTCCGCTGCTCGGTGTGCAGCCGCCAGCTGCTGCCGGGCGATGAATTCTCGCTGCGGGAGCACGAGCTGCTCTGCCGAGCCGACCACGGCCTTCTGCTGGAGCGCGCCGCCGCCGGCAGCCCGCGTAGCCCCGGCCCGCTGTCCGGCGCCCGCGGCCTGCATCTGTCAGGTAAGCCTGCGTCCGCCGGACCCCGCGCCGCGTCAGTGCGCGTGCAGGGCAGTGCCAGTGTGCAGACCAGAAGTTGTCACTCATGAGCGTTTCTGTGAGCCGGGGGCTTACGCTTTTCCGTGTGAGAGTGGGAACAGTGGGGGCACGGTCCTGTGTCCCTGCTTACCGGGCAAGCATTGCGTGTAGTCAGCGAGGCCGGCCTGTGTGTGCTCCTGGAGTCAGAGCATTGTGGAAATTTGTGTTCTTCAAGGCCAGGAAGGTGTGGGGCAGGGCGCTGAGAGCAAGGGCAAGTGACAGCAGGGAATCTGAACTAGTGCCTGTCTGGGGTTTGAACTGGGAATTTCAAATGTAATTGCCAGTGTGGAAAGCTAGGTTTGCCTGGGGACGTGTGTGTAAGAATTACAGCTCCCACTCTACAGCTGGGTCTGGGAGCTGCCAGCTAGGAGCCTGAAGGTAAAGATGGCCCTGAAGGCGCCTCCCCAACAAAGAGTGGTGTCTGTGGTTGTGTTTTGAGGCTCAGTTCATTGAACAACTTTGGCAAGTGCTTAGGAATGGAGAGGGAGTGGAGGCAGAGTGGACTGGGAAATCACAGAAGACACTTGGGGGATGTTCTGAATCCTAATCAGGAGCCACCCAAAGATGGGGTCCTAGTGTCTGGTGGGAAGAGGTAAGGATGGTCCCCTGCTGGGCAGGTAGGTATAGACAGAAAGCACCCAACTCATCATCTTCAGACCAGACTGAGCCTAGGGTGCTGGGTGGTCTTATATTGCTCCTTTTCTTGGTAACCCCCCCCCTTCTCTCCCATATAGAATGAGGAAATTGGGCTGAATGAGCTATTTGTAAATATTTATCCAGGCCTAGAGATGCCTGGAGGGGGATATAAATTGAAACAGTGCGGCCTAAGTCCTGGGCCTGTAGACACGATTCTGCTGGGGTGTGAAACGGAAGGAAGCTGGTGTTGAGTGCACTCTGGTCTGGCACGAGGAGGGGCTCTCTTTTGTTTGTTGCGGGGTTGTGGCCAGCAGGAACCAAGTCCTGTTTCTCCCGGGTTGAGAGAACCGGAGGACAACCGAAGGGAGTGGGAACCTTGCGCACCCGCCCGGAATCTAACGCCTGAGGGAGGCCACCTGGGGGGCCAAGCCCCAGGTCTGGAGGGAAGGAGCTGATTCCAGCCCTGGAGGCCCCTGAGCGCCCGGGACGGGCTCTTCGCACCCGGGGCCTGGTGCTGAACTAGCGGCCTCTGAACTAGAGGGGAAAGAGCCCTCGCTCTTCCCGGAGACTAGCCCCCCGACCCCCGGGTAGCGCTGCTACGGTCCGCGTCTGTCCCCATCCCCCTCCCAAGTCTAGGGCGCGCCTCCTTCCTCTTCCTCTGAAACTCCGAGTTCTTCCGGAGGGTTTCGCTGGTCCCGCAGGCCGGAGGCTGACTCCGAAGTTCGGGTGAATGGGGGGGCACAACCCGGAGCGACCCCCCTGCTTCACGGGCCTAACGCAGAGCTCCCACGCTCTTTTGGCGTTCCGGGACATCACTGTGGGCAGCCGGGTGGGGAACTAGGGAAGGGGCGCACACGCACTACTCGGGCTAAGGCGAACGGCTGGGAAGAGAGGGGAACAAGAAAACGAAATCAACAGAATAGAGAGGAACGAGACCGCGGGGCGCTCCCGCTGGGGTGTGTGGGCGGCGGCGGGGCGACTCCGAGTTCACCGCTCTCCTGGCGTCTTCTCAGACCCAGGGTCGGGTCGGCAGCCATCGCTGCGCCCGCACGTGCACAAGCAGACGGAGAAGACGACCCGCGTGCGGACCGTGCTCAACGAGAAGCAGCTGCACACTCTGCGGACGTGCTACGCGGCCAACCCGCGGCCCGACGCACTCATGAAGGAGCAGCTGGTGGAGATGACGGGCCTGAGCCCACGGGTCATCCGCGTCTGGTTCCAGAACAAGCGCTGCAAGGACAAGAAGAAATCCATCCTCATGAAACAGTTGCAGCAGCAGCAGCACAGCGATAAGACGGTGAGCGACTGTGTGCAGGAGGAACCGCGGGGGGCAGGGTGGGGGGTGGGGAGAGGCGGTTGGGTTCTCGCGGCGAACTCCGAGTGCTCTTTCCTGGGAGAACCCTGGGAAGATCTAAGGGGAACTGGATTACCCCCAAGAGCGCCTGGAGGTGTCTTTATAGCAAGACCTTGAAGGTTTAAAACTCATTTTTGTATTTGAGATCGGGTCTTCTAGGCCCAGCATCAGCCCTCAACTGGGAGACCGGGGTGCCACGGGGACCCTCAGGCGCAGGGTTGTGTCCCACCTGGCAGGGCTCGTTTTCCTTGCCCGGGATGGGGAGTGCAAGTCTCATATTCCCTTGTCTCCTTGGCTTCCAGCACCGAGGCTGGCCTGCGGGTATTGGGGTTCTAGGGTGTTTCACTGGGTAAATGTCATTCTCACGGGTGTGGTCAGGGTGTGACTCCCGTCCACACTGGACCGTCGCCGGCCCAAATCGCACTATCGAACCTGGGACCCCAGGGTTCGGTCAGCGGTGGCAGGAAACTGCAGACCTAAATGGAGTGCCCCTCGCCCCACTTCTTCTTGCCTCGCAGAGCCTGCAGGGACTGACCGGAACGCCCTTGGTGGCTGGCAGCCCGATCCGCCACGAGAGCGCCGTGCAGGGCAGCGCAGTGGAGGTGCAGACCTACCAGCCGCCGTGGAAGGCGCTCAGCGAGTTCGCTCTCCAGAGTGACCTGGACCAACCCGCCTTCCAGCAGCTGGTGAGGCGCCGCCCTTCCCGCCCGGCCTTGGGGCTCCGGGTGTTCAGCAGTTGAGCCCAGTGGGAAGCGGTTTGTTCCCAGGGGACGAGGAGTGGGGTTGCTTTGGTGGGAACGAGGAGCAGGGGTGGCTTGCCAGTCACACTGCGTCCCATAGTCGTCTCACCTCGGACTCCCTGGATTAAACATGGCGGGAGAGGTGCAGGGATGAGCCCTCGTCCCGAGTGTCAGCTGGGCGCGGGGGCCACCGGGCCTGCTTCTCCGGAGGCCTTGCTCCCGCCTGCTTCTCCGGAGGCCTTGCTCCCGCCGTCGGTTCGGCCCCAGGGCACCCTGACCGCGCGTCCTCCGGGTCTCTGCCGCCCCAGGTCTCCTTCTCCGAGTCCGGCTCTCTCGGCAATTCCTCCGGCAGCGACGTGACCTCCCTGTCCTCCCAGCTCCCGGACACTCCCAACAGCATGGTGCCGAGTCCCGTGGAAACGTGAGGGGGCCTCCCCGCCAGTCCGAGGACCTCGCATGCTCCCTGCATGAGACGCACCCACGCTCAGGCCATTCCAGCTCCGAAAACTCTCGTCTTTGTAATTCTCATTGCTGTTATTTAAAGAGCGAGGACCGAGAGGCGGCCACACAAGGCGCGCGCCGGGCGCAACCTGCTTCCACCACGCCGGACGCCCCGTCCGGGGACCTTTATTTTTTCAAAATCAGAAATTGGGGTTTCCTAGCGTTAACTCTGCTCCCCTTTCCCTGGAGATCGCCCCCAGCGCGCCGGCGACCCAAGCACGTTCTCGGGTGGGCGCCGAGTCGGCAAGCCCCTCAGGACTGCTCCGCCCGGACCCGCCCTCCCGTAGAGTGGCCGGCGCGACCCGAAGGAGCAGTCGCTCGGCCCCGCAAAGCGCATGATTGCCGGACAAAAGTAGAAAAAAGACTTTGCTTGAAAATGTTTTAAATTATCATTCGACGGAGGACAGAGTGTGTGAGACTTTGCCGACCAAACAAACGTAAGTTATTGTTATTTATTGTGAGAACAGCCAGTTGATAGCGGGACGAATATTTTGCTCTTAATAAAATAATAATAAAAAACCCAACCCGATGCCCGCG